CTACCATGCCAGCGGGTCCAGAAGCCATTCCTGGGCAGGACCCTGCATGGGAATACCAACTAGACACCCAATTTGGGCGGAATGGCCGCACTCACAGGGACAAAATGCTCCAATGCCTCCTAGTGGGCTTTCAGGCTATCTCACATAAAGCTGTTAATTTTGATAAACTGCGAGAGATTACTCAACTCTCTAATGAAAACCCTGGGGCTTTTCTTAATCACCTCACTGAGACCCTTTCACAATATACTCGCTTAGACCCAACCTCCCCGGCAGGAGCTACTGTTTTAGCTACTCACTTTATCACCCAATCTGCTCCTGATATTAGAAAGACACTGAAAAAGGCAGAAGAGGGCCCCCAGACTCCCATCCAAGACCTGGTGTATATGGCCTTTAAAGTTTTTAAGACTCAGGAGGAATGGGCTGAGGCAGATGGGGAATTCCGCACTTGCCAGAAGGCCAATTTACAAGCCCAATCTTTAGTGGCAGCCCTGAGGCCAGCACCTACTTGACCAGCCAGAAGCAACCTCCCAACAGGAGCCTGTTTTAAATGTGGAGAGGAAGGCCACTAGGCCAGCTGTTGTCCACATCCATGCCAACCTTCTAGACCTTGTTCAGCATGTAGTCAAATGAGACATTGGAAAAGTGACTGTCCCTCAGTGCCAAGACACGGAGGGCCAGTCCCTCCAACCCCTGACCTGCTGTTGACTGTTCTGGGTCTGGCAGCTGAAGACTGAAGGAACCCTGACTCATCAACCCCAATCACTCTTGCCGAGCCCAGGGTAACACTCAAGGTAGCGGGTAAGTTAACATCCTTCTTGGTCGATACAGGGACTACCTATTCTGTCTTATTCTCCTTCCTGGGACAATTATACCCCTCCCAGGTCTCAGCGATGGGAATTGATGGGTGACCCTAGGTAACAGGCCCTGTTACATGCCTTATAGACAACAGAATTATTACACACTTATTTCTAGTGATGCCTACCTGCCCCACCCCACTTTTAGGAAGAGACCTTCTTTTTAGGCTAGGGGTCACCCTACAATGGACACAGGACCCCTCAGCAACACTTTTACTATCACTAATCTCCACTCCAGCATCCACACCAAACCCTCCTTTGTCTCCTAATTTAGTAAATCCCATTGTGTAGGACATTTCCACTCCTACCCTTGCTACCCACCATTCACTGTTCTTATTCACTTAAAGAACCCTTCTCATTTTCCTTCAAGACCCCAGTTTCCAATTTCTCCAACACACCAACAGGGATTGAAACCTCTTATCCAGCGTCTCTTGTCTAGAGGTCTTTTAATTCCTACACATTCACCCCCATCCTACCAGTAAGGAAACCTGATGACTCATTTCACCTAGTACAAGACTTATGCCTCATTAATGAAGCTGCAATCCCTATTCACCCTGTTATCCCCAATCCTTACACACTCCTGTCTCATATTCCACCATCTACCACTCATTTTTCCATATTAGACCTCAGAAGGTCCCGGTGTCTTCATGGGTATAAATTATTCAACATACTTTATTCTTTCTTAACCATTCTCACACTTTACCCAATATTTCCCACTGTTTCCTTTGTGCCTGTCTTCTGCGGTCTTTACTTACAGCTGTACCCATTAATTCCACTCAATTATCACTGACACTCACACCCAATCCTTCCTGCACCACTCCTCCACTATAAGTGCCTCTTTGGGAACCTGAAACCCTTAACCAGACACATCTTTCCTGAGTTTGTCTTTTCACCAACAACACCTTATCTACCCCCCTGAGGCACAGCTTCTGCTCACTAAACATCTCTATTGTGTCCTACACCTCTGCATCACCTGGTACTTACTTTCTACACCTCTGCAGCACCTGGTACTTACTTTTGGTGTAATGGAACTTTAACTAACTAAATGTTTAAACTCCACCACTCCAGGCCCCTGCTTTCCAGTGACCATAGTACCTCAACTCACTCTATATGAGAAATCCAAATTTTCCTGGCTATTACCTGAAACCAAAACCAAAAGAGCTGCTTTTCTACCTATCATGGTAGGCCTTAGTTTAACCTCTGCTTCTGCAGCAGCAGGAACAGCAGGTGGAGCCTTGGGTTGTGAGAGCATGAGATTGTTTCTATATAGCCACCACTCTGTATGTGATTATGTTGCTATATAACCACCACCCTGTATGTGACCATTTTGAATAGGTAGCCATTTGTGCAAAAAGCCTCAGCACATACTTCACGCTTTAGTGCTTAGTTACTGGAAAAACCACAAAGAGTCCTAGCCACCTCACACCTGACTACCTCATCGATACCCTCAAACACACTCCTTAACAACAACCAATCAGTAGATAGCACCGACATACCTTACCTAAATTAGTTAGAAACCACAGTTGGTGGCTTTGGCCCACTAGACAGAGCCAATCAAGTAGGCACAACTAGCAACTTGGAAAATGTCAACCGATCCTGTAATTTTCTAATTAAAACTTCCTTGTTCCTGATTGAGACCCCTATATTAACCCCATTACCCCTGAGTTGTGCACTCTCAATCCTGAACCGCTGCGTCGGTGACAGTTGAGGTTCCGAGCTCGAGCTTGAATAAACAACCCCTATGCTTTTGCAGTGGAATCGGCTCCATGGTGGTCTTTGGGGAACCAGGGTCTGGGCACAGCAGGGTCATAGCATATATAAGCCCAAGATTTCTAAACCCATCTGGAGGTAGCACTTGAAAACACTGCAGATTCCCTGGCCTCCCTCCAGCAGCAACTAAACTCTTTAGCCCAAGTTACTTTACAGAATTGGAGAGCCTTGGACCTACTAACAGTGAGAAAAGGTGGAACTAGCCTCTTTCTTAAAGAAGAATGCTGCTATTATATCAACGAATCCGGTCTAGTGGAACAAAACATCAATACATTGACTCGACTGAGTGAGGAACTACGTAATAGACATCAAGCAGGAACCTCACCATTTGAATGGCTCCAATCACCACTAACAGCCTGGTTATTACCCATTATAGGACCTATTGTACTAATAAGTCTCTTTTTTCTTTTCACCCCTTGTCTCCTTCGATTCCTCCAAAACCGACTCAAAGAAATGCCCAGAGTTACTGTTAACCAATTACTTCTACACCCATACACTCACCTACCAACCAACTCAATTCCCACTGATGCCAACCTTTAACCCCACTCTGACCCAGTTCAGCAGGAAGCAGCCAGAACGATAACTTCACCCTTTTTTATCACAAAAAAAAAAAAAGGCTGGAATGTTAGGCGGGAGCACAGCTGGCCCGGGGTGTGAACGATTAAGCTGGAGGGAATTATAAGAACTGGTCAAGCAAGGAAGCACCCGACTAGAGCCCATAACGAACCCCAGCACTTAACCCTTACTTACGAAAGACTCCAGCACCTGACTCTTACTCACAAAAGCCCCCAACCATTTCCTTCCCACTATGTTAATGAAGTACTTCAACTCTGCTTCCTGCTTCCATACTAATAGGGTGCTTTAACCTTATTGGTTCCTGTAACACATACCCTGCTCTCAATCTGATCCATTGAGGAACAGGAAAAGTAACACTATAAAAACCCTTTTCTTTCACCCTGGTGGCATGACTTCTTGGGCCCCTCTGAGGGACCCGTGAACCTCGCCTGGGGGCACAGAATAAACCTTTCCTTGCTTTACCTTCTGTGTCCCTTCCCTTCCTTATCACAACCTTACAGTTACTTAGGCTCCATAAAGGATAATGTCATTATTAGTCCTACCAGGGATGGTTAGCCCCATTTCTTTTCTGTCACAGCAATGTTAATACTTGTTACCCAAAAGACGCTGGAAAGACATGTCTAGTCAGATAAATATTGGCCCATGAAATTATTTTTGCTCAATAGAATAATATCATTGCTTCCTAGAGCCAACCCAACTTCCAGCCAATAACAATCAATGATTAGTTTTCTTTTTTATCTTCCTTAGTCAGCAACAAGGAGTGAATATCCTTGAGCACATCTCTTGCATCTTTGTGTAAGCATCTCAAGGATGAAACTCCATGTCAAAGAGAATATGCAGTCTTAATTTCACTGAACACTATATGATCACCTTCCAAAAAAGATTGCACTTATTTATTAATCTTATCTGCACTGTCTTGGATTTGGAGATCAGTTTTATAATTTATAATAATTTTTCTAATTCCCCTCAATGGCTTTAATATTTCTTAGAAGTAAACAAAATTATTATTTTTCCTTGTCTTTGTATTGTGAGTTATATATTATCTTAAATATTCCACTATCACAACAAGCTTATCTATGATTTCTAGGAAAACAAAAGTCAATTCATAGATAATTACTTGATTGAATAAATTCCAAAAAAGTAACTGTAAAAAAAGGACAAGTGAAACTAATCTAGTCCACAATTTTGAGAGTCCTCCTGAATGAATGAGCCAAGGTAATTTATTCAAATTAATAGATAGAATGGACTGAACTATTTTTTTTTCCTGTATATGAAGCTAAGGTAGGAAAAGAAATTTGGATTTCCTTTAGAAGAATGAAATAGTAATGTGCTTTTATATATGTAAATTTATTTTCTGTTTTACGTCTAAATTTCCATACTTAAATAATTAAATCTGGGCAGAACTGTTGTTATATAACTTAAATATACTAACCATTGAGGAAAATATTTTATACAATTTACAATATTATAAAAATTTCACTTTTTTAAAGATCATCTGTTTTAATTACATCTCAGTTACACACACATATATATTTAATAACTGGTTTATATTCTTGGCTGATACTTAACAAAGGAAATTAGCACTTTTAACAAATGCAATGAAAAGCTTGAATACAGGTCACATTAGTCTAAGAAATTAACAATCACATCATTTTACATTTTATATAAGCCTTAAATAGATGTTATGTAAATTATATTTTATAGTGTATAAGAATTCAGTAAATAGTGAAAAATATAAGTACTGTGAAACTTGAATCCAGATGTTAATTTCCCTTTGACAATTGGTATTGATATTGATCTTCATGACCAAGAGATTTCTATTGGTTTATCCAGAGTAACATTCTTTGCTTTCAGATCAATACTTAATATCTAAAAAAAAAAAAAAAGTAAAAAATTACTTGTTTTATCCAAGCTATGTTTCTTTAAGGAAGACTAACTCCATAAACAAATGTTCTTTAAATGAATGTTGTTTCTTATTTGTGTAAGTGAATTTTTATTTCTGCAAGTCCACATACAATCATTTAAGTAATAATCTCACCCAACCCACTTATTTTACAGATGATAACAATAAATCCCAAAGAGGTAGAGTGGCTTGTCAAAACACAGTGAAAACTGAGACTGTTAACCAATTATCTTGATCTCCATTATCTTACTCTTTCCATGTGACTTCTTGAAATACAGAGTAATTTATAATTACACTGTATGATTTTCTATGCTCCCCGACTCCGTTTATCTCATTCATCTACAATGAAAGTTTAGATTTAGAGATATGTTTTCTTTTATATCAATCCAAAAGGGATTTAGGGCCTTGATTTATTGTCCATGTGTTTAAAACCATGTGTTATTTTCTCTCACTGAGATCGTCTGTGTGAAGGGATAAAAATGACAAACTCTTATTTCAAACAATCATCTGTCATGCTCTTATAATATGATCATTTCACAAACCCTTATTGTGATTACTTTTTCTTCAATATACCTACATGATTCTCTCTGCCTTTGCTCAGAAAATTTAGATTCAACCACAAATATGCAAGAAAAGAAGAAGAGAACAAATGTTCCTCTGTTTTCCCCCACATGGCCCGCACTCTTCTAGAGCCTTTACAAAACTGATTGATCACAAAAGCATAGCTTGAGGATTTATTTGCTGCACTTTATAGTAGAAGAGTTTAAAACAGAAGAATTGCATGATTTGCTAAATATCCATTAGCTAGGTTTGAAACGATCCATCCTACATGAATACTAAGGTAGTTCCTTTACATCAGTAGTGAAAAGCAGCAAATATATCACATAGTTATTGAAGTCTTGTACATAAAAACAACTGGGTATGATTGTGCTTTAAGAAAGTTTTCTTATGGTTAAACCAATTTAAATCAACTTGCATGTAATTTCCATACTTATGAAGATGGGAAAACAGATTAGAGACATAAATTTACCACTCTCTCACTTTCACATATATCTGGAAGGGCTAGGAAACAGTAGACACTAATAGATATTTGTGGAAGCTAAATGCACTTAGAGCTAATTACTCTGTTGTTAGTGATTGCAGTATATAATTTCACTTGGAATTCCCAAGGTAATAAAACTTTGTAAAAATTATCTTCTTAATACTTAAATATCTTTGTGAATGTGTTTGAGAACAGGAGAAAATAATTTTAATTAGTGTGATTTTGTGCCAGGTTTTTGTTCAAAATTAACTTGATATACTCAACATGGTAAAATATATTTAGCATTTTTAAGATTAGTTTTTTCAGTTTAGTTTCAGAATGAAAATGTAAGTTTTTTCAGAATTAAAATAATATTAAAGAGCAAGGAAATACAAAACATATTATTATTATTATTATTTTTTATCATATTAAATACTGGACAGTGAGACAAAACTATTTGCTATTTGATTGATAATCATTGGTTATTTATACTTGGCAAGTTAATTTCCCTTTTCCAGGACACCATTTCCTAGATTTTCATATAAAAGCACTGGACTAAATCAGTGATTCCCTTACTTTGGAATTTTATTAACCAATAATCTTTAAAAAGAAAAAAAAAAAAAATGGGTATGAGGCACTAGGTTATCAATGTTTATTTTACCAAGGAAGGACATTACAAATACGAAACTAACTTCCCAATCTTGTCAAATTTTCAACAAATAGGAGTAATTGTGATGCTAAAATAGTAAGAAAGTTATGATTTCATATGAAAGGATAATTACCTTTTGCCAATTGAACAGCTTTAAGAATAGGACAGGTGTTTACTGAATGAAATGTCCTTTATGGCTCTTCCCAAATCTAACAACCTTTGATATCTATGAGAACTTCAAATTGTACCTAAGATACACTTTCCACCCCCTACATTGAGATCAAATGATTGGCTGTTTGCAATTGTCAATCTCACATGGTTGCTATTTAATAATTAATTGTTGCTACCCAACCTTAAGCATAAATGTGTACATGCAAACTCAAACACAGTTTCAGTGGTAGAGATAAACCCCTAAATTTGGATCCAAGATTCATAACGGCTGTTTTCTAGAAGAAAAGTTGTTTGAAATCCAACTGTAGAAGACCTGGAGTCACAGAACTTAGAAATGAGAACTTAAGGTATTGTTTACTTGTATATTCGTATTTAATTGGGGAGAAAAGAGAGGCCTAACATTTATTTATCTGAAATAAAAAGCTAATTACTGGCAGCAATCAATTTTACCACAAGAATTCTGAGTTCTTGTTTAATATTCTGTATAACATCTCTTGTATACCTGTATTCTCATACTATAAGGACAGTTTCATTAATTCTGCAAAACCACATCCATTGCTGTGAATCAATTCTGACTCATGGGAACCCTCTACAATAGAGTAGAACCACTCCATCAGTTTCCAAGATTGTAAGTCTTTATGAAAGGAGACTGCTATACATCTTTCTACTACAGACCCTATGGTGGATTTGAACCACCAATTTTTGTTTAGCAGATGAATACTTTACTGCAAAACTAAGGCTCCTTTTAATCTTGCAAGGACTTTCAAATACCTTTTATTGAAGGCAAAAATAATAATAGGCATTTTACTTTTAAAGAAAATGATTGATGGGGCACTACACATATAGAGATAACAATTATTTAGAAGCTTAGTAAAATTTTTAATTTTGTCAGAACAATCATAATACAGATGCCATTTTGTTTATTTTTATGAGAGTTTATAAAAGATAAAAGTTTAATGAAAATGAATCAATGAGATAAATCATAGTTGACCTATACTTATGTTTCCTTCAGACTGAAAAATGTAAGAAGCCTATTTATATGTTTTAATAGTTGTAGTTAACAAAATATTTTTATATGTCACTTACCTCAGCATTTGGATTGTCAGTAAATGGAAGTAACTCTTTATTTCCTTTATATATGAGACTAATCTCCTTGATAGGAGTCGTTCCTTTTCCCCATACTTTGATTAATCCAAGCCTCATTTCAGCTTCATTTACATAACCATTTTTCAATATAGTGCTTGTCAAGTTGTTCTATCAAAATAAAAAGAAATAATGCATATATTTCTTTTGAAAAAAAAATTAAATCATATTTAAAACCAGTCAGTTATCCAGAAAGGTATTTAACAGTACAGCAAAATGTTTATTCATATATTTGAAATGAGATATTTTATATAATAAACATAAAATGAAATTTCAAATATTTTACAAACTTGCATATAAATGATCTTACATGAATACACACCTTGTTTAAATTAAATTGTACCATGAAATACAGGCCTCTTTCATAGGTATCTGTAGAGAAAATAAAAGTGGTATATTTTTATTTCCAAATAACACTTACAAATGCAAGTGTATTTTGCTTTCTTTTCCCAGCATAAATGATACCAGATATGATACACACATACTTAATATTTCCCTAGGAGTATTTACCTTGTCCCAACAAAGTGCAAAGAGCCCTGTAACAGTAAAGAAGAGTCACCAGAGAGGGTCCTAGAAGTATGGGAAATTTTGGTGCGTGTGTGCCTGGAGGGTTCTCTACAGCAGTGACATTATAAAATCACCTTAAACACAGCTCTGGGAAGGTGAGAAGAAGTGACATAATAAACAGACTTCCCTGGTATAATAGTGATAGTTACTTCCTTCCCCCTACATCCTTCCCCCTTCAATGAGTGACAAATAATATTTATAAAAGGAAAGGAAAATGATAGGAACTTATACTTGTGTCACTTGAAAAACATTCAATTTTTAGGGATTGCTTCAAGTCAATTGACATCAGATTAGAAGTACAGCCAGGAAGTTCCTTAGAAGCAAGGATGACAAGACTTCTCTCAGATACTTTGCTTACATTACCAGGAATGACCAATCCCTGGAGAAGGACATCATGCTTGATAAAGTAGAGGGTCAATGAAAAAAAGAAGAACCCTCAATGTGAAGGATTGACACAGCAGCTGCAACAATGGCCTCAGATATAGTAACGACTTTGAGGATGACAATGGGCCAAATAGTGATTTGTTCTATTGTACATATAGGGTCATTATGAGTTGGAATCAACTTGACAGCCCCTAAACACAAAAATAGCCATTTTCTTACCCAAAATATTTTGTTGTTGTTAGGTGCCGTGGAGTAAATTTTGATTCATAGTGACCCCATGTGACAGTATAGAAATCCCCATAGGGTTTTCTAGGCCGTCATCTTTATCGGAGCAGATTGTCAGATCTTTCTCATTTAGAACTGCGGAGTGGGTTCCAACTGCCAACAATTTGGTTAGAAACCAAACATTTAAGCATTGCCTCACCAGGACTCCTTACTTAAATATAATCTTTCCATATTTAAAATTATTTTTAAGAAAAATCTTACAACTAAAACTTACTGAATGCTTTACTCACTTTATTGAACTCTAAGTAATTCACCACAGCTACTCTAAGGTTATATTGAAGTAAATGACTCCATTTTGTAACTCTATTTTTGTAATGTTCAGCTACTGCTGGTAATATCATTTTATGTGGCTGAAGTAAACATCGCATCCTGCCCCCACTCCCAGTGAGTTAGGGAGTGCCCTTTTTGTCTTTTTCTTCTCTTCCCTCCTAGGCACATAAAGCAGCTAGAATGCATACTTTGGGGTGTTTATCAGAACTAACTCCCATCACCCCTCAATGAACACCTGTGCTAGAGTACATACATTGCAGTGATTATCAGAGCTAACTCCCCTCACCCCTCGATGAATGCCTGTGCCAAAGCATGTACTCTAAGACCTTGAAACTGCAGCTTCTGCTTCTGTATTATCACTTGTTTGCCTGCTTTATAAAGCCTGCCTAAAATCAGACTTGTTGCTGCAGTATTGGAGTGCACTTCAGCTCCCTGCAGTCAGCTAGCCTAAATAAAACTCTGTTGCCCAAAAGTGGACATTATAGTGGCTATTATTTTAAACTGAACCCATAACATATGGGGGCTCATCCAGGATAGCCACTGTGTCCTGGTGCCTCTGCCAGGTATCTACCTGTGGGACAAAAAGGATCTCTAGGGGAGGCACCACCTGAAGATGTTCCAGGGCTCCAGAACTCTGTTCTCCCAACTGGGTGTCCACCTGGAGATGTGGAATTCGGGTGATTTGGCCTGAGACACCTGATTCCTCTGGAGGTAAGCCTGTAAATCTGCAAGACCGGTCTCTCTGTTGATTGAGAGAAAGGCTAGGATGCGGTCATAAACTTTCTCCAATTTTTTCTCACCAGGACGCTGCTTGAGAAAATCTGTTCACTGAAAACTTGTTTTCCTGGAGTCTGATCTAGTAAAACATTGGTGAACTGACCTTGTTTTACTAGAGTTTCTGTTCTGTCCTCTCAAAGTGCCTGATATTTCTGAAACCTAACACGTATTTCACTCTGGTCCTGGCTGGGATAAGGGAGGTTGAGATTTTGGTTGATAAACTCAATTAAGAGAACCTCCACAGCCATATGTACTCTGTTTTGTGTTGAAGCGCCACTGGAATTTGTTTAAGTGTTTAGTGTAAGTTTGTTTATGTGACGTTTATATTGTGTTTGTGTGGTGACACTTTGTTCTGCTAGAACCTGGTCTGGCCCAAAACTTTACTAGAATCTGGTATCAGGGGTGTTTTGCCATTTTGTGTTATGTTGTCCCTTGGTGTTTTTGTCACTTAATTCTTTTCCTTTTTGCCTTTGTATGGCCTTTTGACTTGTAATCTTATGACTGTCACCTGACTGATTGGATAATTGGATGGAAAATTTCTCTTAGGTTGTGTTATTTCTTTATATGTTTCATGTTTGCAGGACTGAGCTATTACTTATAGTAAATGAGTTCTAATTCTGAAATATTGTATTGGATTGAGAGGTTTAAGCATATTGTCTAAAGCCTGTGACAATTTTGATTGGTCTTATCCCAAAACTTGGGATTTTTATGGTTTAAGTGAATGGGTCATTGATTTGGCAGCTCAAGGGACCCTACAAGAATTTGAACCCTGGGGAGTGAAATTTTACTTATTTTTATCTTTATTCTTAAATATCTAATCTGGCTCTCAAATTTAGGATTAAATCTTAGGGTAAATATACTAACACTCTAGAATTTTTGAGTTAGGGTGTGTTTCAATGTATGTATGAACAACTGTGTCTGGCTAACTGGAACCCTAAGGGATTAGGGGACTGGAAGTAAATTCAGAGGATTGCACTTAAGTTAATGATATTTGATAGACTATTTATATTGGCTAAATTACAATTTTGGACAACTTAGTAAAAACAATTACAAATACATTGTTGTTGTTGTTGTTATGTACCGTCGAGTCGCACCTGATTCATAGTGACCCCTCCTTGGGTTTCCAAGGCAGTATCACTACGGAAGTATATTTCCCCATCTTCCTTCTGAGGAGTGGCTCGTGGGTTTGAACCTCAAGGCTTCTGGTTAGCAGTCAAGTGCCTTAGCCACTATGCTACCAGATCTCCCACAAATACATTACTACCAGCTTATAAAAATATGGGAAATTCATGTGTAAAGGAAAAGCCTCCTCTCTGATATATATTAAATAATTTTAGACTAACTTACAGGTAAAATTATGGTATTAAATTCAGCCCCAGGTGCCTCAGGATTTTGTATAAATTGGAGTGATTTTAATGATTGACTAATAAATATTCTAACATTAGAAATTTACGTTGTTTTCAGTTTTTTTGCTGTTACTGGTAGTGTGGAATAAAAATCTCTGGCCATTTAGTTTATCCTTAGTCTTAACTTCTGTCATTTCACTATTTTTGAATATCTTTATCTTTGTGAATTATTATTGAAACAACATAGACCAATTGAACTGTTTTTACATGTAAAATCCAGTGACATTGATTGTGTTCTTCGAATGATATTTGGTTAAACTTAGTCCAAACCCCCCTGATTCTGGTCTAGCTTCCAGCTGACAAAGAAGTTAAAATTTTAATCCTTAGTAAGTAACCTTAATTGAAATAATCTCCACAACTGGAATATTGTTATATTTGATTCAACTTTACTTGATTTATTTGTGTGTAAAAAGTGTGTGTGCATGGCACTGGTGCAACAGTTTTGAGTGGATGTAAGTGTGATTGAGGGAATGTAAATGTAATTGGAAATTAAATAACCAAGATTTTGTAACAGAATGGGACCCCTTAACTGTATTCTGAAAAACCTAACCTTTGAAAGTTAAGGAAGAGAAGTTATATCTTTCTTTACATCCTTTTTTTTTTTTTTTTTTTTTTT